GTTCTTTAACTTGACACCAAATTATTCTGCGTTTTTGTCGTTTTCGCTGAATTAGATGAATGTGGGTTGCTTTGCATTTGGTCATACATATTTCTAAATTCTAAGTTTCGAAGGACATCTCACAGAAAAAAACCCCCAGCGAAATAGACGTATAAGTCTGTGCAGTAAATTTTTAAAGTATCCTCAGATTTCCACAACTTCTACTTCTCTTGTTATCAGTCTGTTTAGAACATCGTCAGTGGATTACGGTGATTTGAGGGGTATCATGCATGGAAAAGTTTTGATGCCCTTGAATTATCACAGAAATATCCACCAACAAGGCACCTTTTCTTTCTTTCTTTTTATTCCAACATTTCATGACTACAAACAGTGACGGTACACTCAAGTTATTTCAACTTATTTTATGCCACCACCAACGCAGAGGACAGGACAATACTCATTTTCACTTCAAGTAAAGTGCCTTTCCAAAGATCGGTAGATGTCGTGACTTGAACCCGGGACCTCTTGGTTCCGAGTCGAGCACTCTGCCGTTACGCCACACGACCCCGTAACAAGACAGCTAAATTTTGCAGGACACATACACGACCATACCAAGAATGCCCTCAGTTTTGCAATCGCACGACCGTATCGTACAACTGTATGTGACCTAGCCGTCCTACACACGAATGACGCAAAGTACAACCTTCGGATGCGCCGTCCTTCTACTACAACAGACACCACAACGGTATAAAGTAGAGTGGATTCATTCCTTAAGCTAACCGACATCTATTCATCCCTCAGTGAGCTAGACATCTTAAGTCGAAAGATTCCCGTCTAGAACGACTGCTGTGTGTTAGATGTCGGTCATAGCTTGAGGAATGAATCCACACTACTTTATAAAAGACGTCACATATAAGCTACAACCTCTAAACTGGGAAAAAAGTAGCCTCCTTCGCAGACATGTTGGGCGACGGCGTTATTTTTTTCGGGGAGCTACGCGAGTTATTCCGCGGAGGGACGATTTTGCCGCCGGGCGCGCGAAACCTTCTCTCCCCGGCAAAACTCCCTCGGCGGCAAAATCGTCCCTCCGCGGAATAACTCGCGTAGCTCACCGAAAAAATAACGTCAGCCCTACAAGTCAGCAAAGGAGGCTAGAAAAAAGGATCGTAAACGAGAGATACTGAGATACTCACATGCAGTTATGCCTCCGTCTGGCCGCCTGCCTTGCTGAGGTGGACGTCGGCGCGTCCTCCTCGGACCGTGTGACCCTGCCCGCCGGCGCCGCCTCCAACACCGTCCGTTCCAACACCACGAGGAGGAGAACCCACCGGCATGTCATCAGCATTTTCGTCGTCTTCATCTTTGCTATAGCGTCCTATGATTCTTCTACTGTCACAGTCCTGTATATACGTGTATATATAGGAACACAAACTTACTCACTACTGATTTAACTAGACCTGGATGTGGTCGGGCGGCTAGAAGACTTCCGAAGGGCGGGAAAAGTAAAAGTTCAGACCCAACAAAAACGGAAGGTATAACCGCAAAAAGGTTCCGACATACAAGAGAACTGGTATATCTAAACGCTCGCAAGTCGCTAAAGCTCTCAGACTTCGGAGGCGGCCTTTTTATTTAAACAAAGAGAGATACGCAGGTGACCACGTGGGTCGGAGGAATTTGGGAAGGCCGTATATATATACAGCCTCATTCCTGCACGTACGGACGGTACGGCGTTATCACGGGCCAAAACAGATAAAATTACTATTTCACGTACCATCTCCGTTATCATTTTTCTAAATCTTTGATAGTTGTTCGGTTTATATCATCTCCCGTACAACCATTTTATACTATTCCTCAGATTTGATTTTTTTTCGTTATCTAGAGTTAGTCTAGCCTCTACCAGGCTTAGTGATGCGGCTAGAAAGAGTAGAAATCGGCCAAGTAGAGAGATAGCCCTTGGCCTCCCGTAGCCTGTTACAGGCTAGAGATGGTCCACATTACTGCCTGATAGCCTCGTGGACATCTTTTTTTCAGAAACGGAAGAAAAGTGTCAGAATTCGAAGCTGGCCGTGGGTTTCTGCTACTCTCCAAGCAGAGGTCTAGGCTTTACTAGGTGTTCATATCGGGATTTCTTTTAATTTCTTGTACTGGTAAAATTTATATTATTATTTTTCTTCGGATGGCGTGTTGGATAGCCTCTACCAGGCTTCGGGAGGCGTAGAGATCTGTCAAATAGAGAGATAACATGCCTAGGGAGTTGGTCCGCTAGAGAGTACATTTCGCCGCAGAGTTTGATCGTAGCGACTCCGCACAGGCTTCGGGAGCGGCAAACTGTTCTCTCCAGCAGACAAACTCCCCGGGAATACTATCTCTCTATTTGGCCGATTTCTACTCTTCCCAACCCCTTTCCGAAGCCTGGTAGAGGCTAGTGTTGGATACTACAATGTTTTGCGGCCACCAAAATATCTGCTTGGAGAATAAGTTTGTTGAACTTTCCTGGCGGATGTCCCAATACAGTTGCCCCACTTATAAATAAGGAGGGCCGAAAGAATAGACAACACGTAACCCGCGCACAGTACTAGTATTGTATAACGTTACCATAACGGCTTTGTGAAAACGATAATCATCATCATCTGACCGATGTTATGACTGTCACGGTGACCTCACGTGGTAAAGAGCACAACATAAATAAGGCCTGATTAGGACATAGTGAGTTGTCATATTTTGTTTAGTTTGAACTCGAGAGCAAACGTAAACTGGTCATATTTATTTTGAACTATAGGAGCTAAGGTATTGGGACGAAACGAATGTCCAGACTATGCAAAATGTACAAAATTACTAATAAACTGGTGGACGTCCCAACTGCTAATTACCTAATACCAGCCCAAAAGAGAACAAGAAATAGCCATGCCTTCAAGTACCAGAGTTATCAGCCAAGGATTGAGGTGTTCAAGAATTCATTCTTTCCTAGAAGTATCGCAGAGTGGAACTCGCTGTCACCAAGTACAGTAGGGGCATTATCATTAGATAGCTTTAAACAATGTCTAGAGTTAGATGTTCAAGGGTTATGTGTAACAAGTCCATCGGTGTAATGTAGCCAGCTGTCGCCGCGCCGCGTGCCTGTGAAGCTGGTGTGTTACGCCGAAGGGCGGTTATACCGGCTATACAGATACAGATACACAAACCAAATTGATTAATTGAACCATACTGAAAACACAATCATGTGACGAATGGTCTTTAATTTTCTGTGGCAAACTCCGATGGATGGACGGAAACTTCTGTAGCGCGGTTCCCTTGCGGGTATGCTCCCGATAATACAGACAGTTCGTTCCACTTTATGTACCTTGTCTAGACACGCTGGGTTCCGGTGTCCGAAAGGTGGCCTCAACGGCCAGGTGGTCTTTATACAGAGGCTTGAATCTCTAGAAACCTAACACACTTACGCAAATAAATCTTTAAACCCGTGCAAATGTGCACGTAATCCTTAGAAGCCACTTCAGCTCAAGAAAATTTTTTCAAATAACTTTAAAATTGTTAGCATTAGCATTTTTAAAGTCTTGGGGTGGTGGGACTACGGCGCACTGATATGTCAACTTTGTGTATTTAAATTTTATTGTATTTTGTTGTGTGGCGCTGTTAATATAAGTTATACACTTGAGTGCAGCGCCTCACTGTTATGTTTTGATGTTATGATGAATAAAAAATGTTTTAAAGGGCGAGGGCTCTGTATTTTACTGTATATTATATCTCTTTTACGTAATGATAAAGCGTACTTCCGGACTGTTCAAATATAATGTAGAGCTCAGTTCTTCCAGTGGCGTAATTGAACGTTACACGTAGCCGAAGGGATGCCTGATAGTGAAATAAAGACCTTTATTGTACATTTTTGCTCATTGCGAACTAAGTACAGGTCACGGCAAATAGCGATGGTAGACTACAATATATCTATAGTAAAACTACATATGTACAGGTTCTGCTTCTTCTCGCTTCTTAAGACAGTTGTAAATGTAAGAACATGTGGAGCTTATAGTACGAGGATTATCGAGTTTCATGAGGAATGTGAATTTTTCTTTTCTATCTAAAAATCTAAAACTAGGGAAATAGTCTTGTATACTATTGAAGATAATCTTTCTATCATTATTATATAGAGTACAGTCCACAATAAAATGACTCTCGTGTTCAATCTCATTTAGGTTGCAGTAATGACTTTGTTGCAGAGGAATGTGGTTGTGTCTCCCCTTTTCAACAAGAAGTTTATGTGAGCTAATACGAAGTCTTTAATACGGGGGTATATAATTTCACAGAACGTACGTAAAGAGCTGTCTACCTGTAGCTTATGTGTTAAAAAACAGATGGGATGTCTGATAATGACTGTTATGGTAAAGTTCAGATAGCTGGGGTGCAGATGTTCAATCCATTTCGGAGAAAGCCGTCAGAAGTCCCAATTTGGTGAGACGGATATCCAGACGAGTAAAATATGGCCGGGGTGGGGCTGTGGGAAACTCATGATCAGTCTCGCCAGCCAGATGTGCCCGGGGGCGGTGTACGCACTGCTAAGGCGTGTCCGTTGCCTGGCAACAGCCTTAGCTGCGCCGCCTGGCGGTTTGCGTGTGCGGATGCAATGGTTTGCCAAGAAGCATATTGGAAGTTGTCGCGGAGAAAAAGAAATCCATATATGAAGTTTTCAGTTTTATTTGGGCGTATTTTCAACAGTAAGATGTTTGTGTAATTCGTTTATTCTAACTCGTCTTAAAGTCTTAAAGGCATCCAGTGCAGTTTTAGGGCTTGGAAACCCGATTTTTCAAGGCCAATATTCTAGCCATTTATCTACATACTGAGTTGAAACAACACTGTCCCAATGTATATTGACTCTCATGGAGCAAAAATGCCCCAACTTTGACGGAAAACGGTTACTGGAAGGACCATGGGATGATTTTAGGGTACCACCCAAAAAATAAATGACTTATCTGTACGTTTGTTTCTGCAGTTTTAAATTCCCCAAAGTGAGAAATGCTGACTTAAATGTGCTAACGTGAAGCAATATGTGTCAATATCACAAAGATTGCCTTATTCAGAATAACATTCCAGTTTTGCTGCCCTGAAATCGCATTGGATGCCTTTAAAACAAATAATCCTTCAAGCTAGATAAATGACAACGAAGCCTGTTGTTTCCTTCCGCCTTGCTGCTTGCGGAAGTGTGATTCAGTACATGCTCACAAACATGTGTGCAGGAAAAGTCAGGATACGTCAAAGAGGACACGCGCCATTACCGCTGAATCACCGATTCCAAGCTATACCATAACATCCGACAAAAGCATTTGTGGCCTCACGGGGTGAAATGAGAGGTTACCACGTAATCTTATTTTTCAAATAACTTTGTTTGTATTAACAATTTTAATGTCTTGGGGTGGTGGGACGACGGCGCACAGATATGTCAACTTTGTGTATTTAAATGTTAATTGTACTTTCTTGTTGTGTGGCGCTGTTAATATAAGTTATAAACTTGAGTCAGTGTCACACTGTCCTTGTTATGTTTTCATGTTTTGATGAATAAAAAAATGAGAGCGTACTAATAAGGAGAGATCCAAACAGTGTCCTCTTAATGTTGAATTTGAAGTATAAAGGTTGTAATCGCTTGTTTAAGTCAGTGACATCCGGTGTATGGTTTTCAAATGTTGTGTCGGAAACGATATCGTTTGCAAGGGGCAAAATTCTAGCGCAACTTCACCAAACATCCAGCAAAAACCGCGAAAGTCTACGTTTTCGCGCGGGCGCAGCACATTTTGCCAAGGAACTTAGGCCACAGCAAGTAATTTGTAAGGATGACATCAGCGCGTGCATTAATTTTCGCCTGATTTAAAAAAAAAAGCTTGTTGGCTTCTGACAGTGGTCAATATACCGAAAATGGGCAAAGATGTCGTAAGGTGGATGGCAGATAGCTATGAAGAGAGGAGACAAGTAAAGGCTCTGATTTAATGTTTTGTTTCTTACTTTGATGCAGTGATGTGTGATGCTGGGTGTGTATATGTGATGTTCCCACTGAATCAAAACCATTTGTACAACGATTGAGTCAACATTATAAAATGTAGGAACCTTGTTTTTTTCGGCCCATCTTGTTTTTTTTCGCCCGCTCGCATTAGATTTGGAGTCTGTGGAGGATGTCATCTATAGAATTTAATTGCTGTGGCCATAGGAAGGTAACTAAGGCCTTCTGAAGATAGTAGTCCAGGAACTAGTGGGGGCTACCACTGTTAGAAGCAGGAAATGAAGATGGGTACGCCACACTCAAAGGAAGCCCCCTTTACGGGTATATCCTTCGTAAGGCCATGTTGATTTGATTATATGGATGACATCCTCTGGGAACCCCAAAACTGATGCGAGCGTGCGAATAAAAAACAATGTAGCCAACAAAAGTTGCTTCATTATGAAATCTACGTGGTTTTGAAGGTTGAACAATTAAATGACACAGAGTATGGTTTGGCGAATAATCTAGTCTTCAAAGTAATTTCTTACATTTTCGTCTTTTTCGTTTGATTTTGGTATTCTACGACATTGGTATCGTTTTCCAATGTTTGCTTTTT